ATATATATCATTTATTACAAATTACATTTGCAATAATATAAATTTTTTTATAATTAATAATATTCTCATCTTTTCATCTTGTTTGATATCTTCTCGCTTTAATTATTTTATATTTAAAATTAAAAAGAAACATTATAACATATAACACATCTTATATAATTTAGTGTTGCTAATATCTTTGGTATTTGCATTAACAATAATGACATTTCTACCGGATATCCTCGATTTTTTGTGGCCGTTAAATGAACCACGTACACATTATTTGATATTCATAAGCGAATACCACATAGATCAGAGAACACAGTTTTATTTTTCCTCTTATATTTTCATGACTGGTTTTATTGGTACTCTTTCAGTAGTAGCCATTAATTCGATGCTTGTATTGATTATGTTACACTGCTGCGCGGCATTCAAAATTTGCAGGTAAGAAACATAAAAAGAAATATAAAAATTTTAATTATTTTATTTTTGTTATTTTTTATAAATGATATAAATGAGTAATAATTATACTGCTAGCGCGATTAAACAGAAATTTAATATCACCAGTTATCGAATAGAACGTTTCATCGACAAGAAAGCATTCTCTAACGAGAAAAATGTAATGATTAAAAAAATAATTAGAACAGTGGAACTTCATCAAAATGCTCATAAGTAAGTATTCAAAATCAAATGTAATAAAACCATATGACAAAACAAAGTATAATTAATTTAATGTTAACTTTATTATTTCAAGGCTTAGTAAATTGTTAATAACAAGTTTTACAATAAATTTTCTTATTATATTAATAGTAGGAATGTGTTCTTTAATTATAAATTTACTCAGAGTAAGTAATCTTTTTTACAATATTTACAATAAAAACCTGATCAAAACCTTATAAGTTATCACTCTTTTTAATGTATCATGTACATGATGTATGTACATGATATATGTAATAAAAGTCACGATTTCGTTATTTCGTTATTATATATTATAGTTACTGCACTCCTTTACATGCATGGATAATTTTATTGAATTTCTGGTAGCAATAAGTTATGTTCTAGGACATGAAATTTATCTATTGGGAAGTAGTTATGGAGGACAACAAATCACAGATCATGCTAACGAGTTGTTCAATGCAATGTAAATAACAATTCTTATTTTTGATAAAAATCTGTATGTAAACAAATTTGTAAAATTTATAGCCAGTATTCATATTTTACTTTTAAAAATACGCTTTTAAATTCGTATTTAGCATATAGTTTACGTCACATACCCTATAGAATTTCAGAAATAAATAAAACATATTTATTGAAAAAGTGAATATGAATATACGCGCATGAACTTATGTATGTGTGTATTTGTTCAGAGTTACACGGGTAAATGTCTTATATGTGCGAAGAAAATATCTATATTACAATTTTTGTCTAACTTTTCGTGAAAAAAGTCAAAATTATTTGGTCCATTTTAAGTAATTTTTATCTTGCCAAATGGATATCTACGATCGAACCAATACCAGTACTATTTTATATATTTTATTAAAATTTTATAAATTTTATTTAAAACTTTTTTTCATAAAATTAGCAGCTTGGATAAAACAAAACTAAATCACTTAAAATGGATTACTTTAAATACATATTGAATATAGATTTTTATATATGCACGCATGCACGTACGCACGCACGCACCACGCGCGCGCGCGCGCGCGCGCGCGCACACACACACACACACACACACACACACACACACACACACACACACACACACAAATTAAATTTTAAAATATAAAATAAGAATAAAATAAATAATAATATAAATCAAATAATAATAATAATAATAAATAATAATTAAAATTAAATAAAATTGCTCTAAGTTACATGTCTTTATGGTACAAAGCACCTACAACAGTGCAAAAATTGCTATTATTTATGATGCAAATGTGTTCGAAAGATGTTAAAGTGTCGCTTGGCGGTATATACGTTGCGGTAATGGAAAGTTTTTCCTCGGTAGGTTAGCACAAACACAAAATGTGATATGCAAAGTGCTTTAATATTCATTTCATTAGATTATTTGTTATAGGTCACAAGTACAGCAATATCTTTCATGATGATACTTTACTCTTTACAATAGTTTTACAACTAATCTAATAGGTAGCGTAGCTGTTTGTAGTGATTCTTTCCATGAAGAGTATTTGTTGTATAGTGATTCTTTCCATTGGAGTAATTTTCCAAGTAAAGTAGAATAGAGAAAAAATACTGTTTAATAATATAAGTAATAGTAATAAAAAATAAAATAGCATCCCCTATTTATATATTTTATTAATAAATAACACCTTATTTCATTATGTATCGTTTGTATTTAATCAAAATATTTTACATATAAAACAGATTTTAATGAATTGTTTAAATTCATTTAATTGCTGAGCATAATTTGAATGTCACAATTTTCAAAATATTAATAATATGAAAAAACATATTATACCTGTTCAAACTTGAATGATCTATCATTGCTTACTAATATCTTACTACTTACTAATATCTTACTATCTTAGTACTAATATCTTACTTATTATCATTGCTTACTATGGTGCTAACTTAAAATGTATCTTATGAATTTTATTTTATTTCTTCTCAAAAATTGTTACGAGACATTGTACGTTTAGTTAATTCGAGCTTATTTTTTTTCTCGCGCGAATATCGAAAATTAGATAATCGATCAAGACTTTCCTTGTATTCTACATGTAACTCCGGATAATTCCGCAATTATTATCAATATTCACGCTTTCAGTCACGCTACGATAATATCTAGCATTTCAGAGAGGGGAGAATAAAGTTTTCATTCTCTTATCGAGCGCACATATGGTTTGGTATTCATAGAAAGATGTTCGTGATTGAGAGTTGGTACTATAATCTTAATCGTATTCTTTTACTGATATGCGGTTTGTGGCCTTATGAAAAAACGAAATTTCGGTACGTACGAGCCGTATTCATATTAGGAATATTAATCGCCTACATGATTTATCAGGTATATGTTGATCTAATTAAAAAAATGTTTCAGAATTATATTCACATATTTTTTATATCTTTATATTATCACTTCTAGTTTAACATACTGTTTGCTTACGAGTATAATTTCAAATTAGCACTAAAGATCTGTTCGGACATTTTTCCAGCTATTCTGTGTACATTGCAATTTATCGCCTTTTTAATTAAACCGGGAGAAGTGAGTTATTTATTTCCAACTTAAGTTTATAAGAGCATCAGATACATACAAAGTTTATAAAAAATACATTATGTAAATCTAATAATAATATATTATTATAAGAAGCACATACATAACATTATATATATATATAACTAACAATAAGTCTATAATCAGCTCTTGCTTTTTAATATGACTCTTTATATACTTAAAAAAAATCTTATCTTAAAATATATGATATTTTTCGTTTTACTTAAGAATATAATTTATATTTAATGATATATTAGTGAAGAAAATCATGTTTGCATGTGTTTAGGTAAGAGGACTACTAGATGATATTTGTAAAGAATGGAATGCATTAAAAGATTCTACTGAAATTGAAATAGCAAAAAAATATGGAAAGTTTACAAGGCGACTTACAGAAGTCTTACTTCGTAAGGAATTTCTTTAAAAAAAGTTTTGCTTAATATAGATAAATTCATAATCGTATTATTTAATAAATCTACTTTATACAAATGTCTTTTTGCAAATTCAGGCATTTTTCAGTGTGTGCCATATTAAGCTGGTTTCTTCTGGTCTTAATGAATCTTATTCCGATTTCCATTAATGGCATTGTAGTAGCCAATGAATCTCTCTTAAGATATGATAATATCTCAATACATCAATTTGATAGAGAAAGATATATTTTATTCTTTATAGTTATCTTCATTGGCGTTATTGTAATAACAACCACTACAACAATGGTCTTAGCTTATATGCGACATATTTGTGCAATGTTAAAAATTACCTGGTATTCGATGTTTATATCAATTGTTTACCAGAACGTGTTCTAATTGTGATGTAAAGTATACTTTTATAGCTATCGTATCGAACATTCATTGGATGAAAACCTCTTGTATATGTCTATTTCTCAAAAAAATCGCCTGATGTGTCAGAAATTAATTAGCGCCGTCAACATTCAACGAAGAGCGATGAAGTCAGTATATTAATTAATCTCTTCGTAAATACAGTATATGCGAGATAGAATGAATATTCTGAAAATATAAACTTGAATTTATTGTATTGAAGTATCAATTACGTTTATAGCATACTATATTTAAAAATCTAAATAGATTTATATATTATACTCCAGTATATTCAATCACATTAATATTTCCTTATTATTGTAATTATGTTATGTTGAGAAGATAAATTCTTTTTTTTTCCAAAAATCCCATTCGATTATTATTTCTAGTACTTGTAATTATTTGTACATTCTGTTATTCATAATATAATATTTATTTTTATAATAATAAATAATACAAGCAAAATAAACATTTTGCAATGTAAAATGTAGCCAACTATCTTTTTTTTTTTTTACACAAATTATGATACTCGAATCGTTTATGAATGGATGGCGAATTTCTTTGCTTTTTTAAAGGTTCATGCAACGTGCCTTAGCCAGTTTTAAAGAATCTTACTTTTTTTTGATTGGGATAGGTGTAATTTCATTGGCCATTAATTTATTACATGTAAGTAACATATAAGTACCATACAATGTCTATTCGCGTTTCATTATATTGATCACATTAGTTTCATAATTTTTATGCATTAATTAATTTTTAAAAGTTTTTACATATTAATTCCAGGCATTACAAGCTGCATTATTTCTAGATAATATAAATGAACTAGCAATATCTACATTTTATGTCATTCTTCATTTTCTTATTATTTTCATAGGGAATTATGGCGGACAAACTATTACGGATCATAGTGCTGATGTATTAAAAATGTTGTAAGTATACAAGAATTACAAAATTTTATGTAATCTGCGTAATTAATTATATATTTTATCTGCATAATTAATTATTATCAACTAATTTAATAATAAGATATTTTAATTTCATGATAATGAATAGTTCATATTGCAAAAATAAATGTTTAGATATCATGTGCAATGGTATATGGCACCTGTACAAGTGCAAAAACTAATACTTTTCTTAATGCTAAGAAATACAAGATATTTTAGTTTGGTCATTGGAGGAATATATGTTGCTTCACTCGAAGGTTTTATTACGGTGAGAAAATTTATAATTAACAATTGGTACAAATATTTAAATAATTATGTTAATGCGATCGTGTGTATTGCACATTTTACTTCAATAATTCTCTGATTAATTGATCTCTGTATACAATTATTTTACTTATGAAAATATATTTAATTCTATAAAGTATATATATATAAATAAGATTATAAATGTGATAAAATATAAAAACTATAATTTCAGCTTACAAGTATGTCAGTATCTTACTTTATGGTAATTTATTCTACGCAATAAAAATTATGAAAAAATCAATACAATTAGATGAGATGTAGATCATAACAAATTAGATGAGATGTAGATGATATTATTCTGTTATTATAATATTAATAACAAAGATATAAACAATTTTCATGTAAACGAAAGAGGAATCTATTTATAAAACATTTAGAAGTACGATAAGGCACATTTCGTAAAAAAATATATATCGTAATAAAATATATATAAGCAACTGAGACATAACATTATGTTATAATTCATTTGTTATAATAAGAATAGCTAGAGATATTTTACGAGTCAAAAAAATCGATTATTATATTTTACCAAATGTATTCGTGCATTCTTCATCTACTATTTCCAAACAATGCGTTACACAAGTATCAAATTTTTTACATTATAAATAAAAAAAGATGTCTTTTATAGTATCTTGAATAATTAAAATGAATTGTGATCGTGAGAAACTTTTGCGATATTCCGTATTAGTTGAAAGTGTAGTAAAATTACATGTAGTAAAATTACATGTCGGAATTGATCGCAATTGTCTATCGTACTAGAAACAGCTGTTTGTTCTTAAAGTTATTACGTTATTTATTCACATTGAGAATATATTCGAGGGTACATGATAGGGAAAATATAAAAATAAAATAATTGAAATACATAATACTGATATCATAGAAGAGAGAAAAATAATAATTTCCATAACTGTCTCGCATTCAAGTTTTGGTATTCGAAGAGAAATGATTAATCCTATGACTAAGTACTACGACGTAAATCGATTGCTTTTGTTAATATGCGGTTTATGGCCTTATGAGAAATCAAAATTCAGATATATTCAGGCTATATTCTACATCACTATTATATTGTCATTTATAGTATTCCAGGTATGGTCACTTTACGAAATAGCATAAAAATTTCTAAATTTCTAATTTAGAAATGAAAATACATATATAAATAAGAAATGGTAAAAGAAGCATCAATATAATAATAAAATAGGTATTAAATAAATTATAAAAATATAAAATAATATTTCAGTTTATGACTCTTATCGACGCAGATTGCTCTATAAACCTAATCACGAAACTATTATCGATCGTTCTTCCCATGTGTGTATGCCTCTTAAAATATGGCGCTTTCTTGTATAATAATCAAAAAGTAAGTCATTTTTTTTATTATATTTATCACAAAATTAAATAAAATACATATTTGCAATGACAGATGAAACATCTTATGGATCTAATATGGTATCATTGGAGTATAATTCAAGATAAACAAGAGGTTGCAATATTAAAAAAATATACTAAATTCTCGAGGCGATTTACACTTTTCATGCTACGTAAGGATGATATATCAAGTTTATCAAGTTTTGATGTAGTATTATATCAAAGAAATAATTATTCTTAATAATTATTCTTAATTTTAATCAGACATTTTCTCTTTGAGCATATTTGTTATAATCATGGGCCATATGCTGCCAATGATACTCGATATAATAATACCGTTGAACTCATCTCGGCCACGACATTTTTATATGATAATGGAATATTTTATCGATCAAGAAAGATATTTTCTTTGGCTTTTATTGCATACTAGTATGACTTTATTAGTAGCCGCTTTAATGGTTTTATCTATTGGAACTATGCTTATGAGTTGCGTTTTTCATGCTTGCGCAATGTTTAAAATTGCTAGGTAATTATTTTATTAGCGCGCGCGCACGCACCACCCACCCA